TTTTTTTTTTTTTTGACAGAATATGTAAAACGCTGCCAGAATTCTAGAATTTACCATGTTTCTGGGTGTATTGTTGAGAGATTGACCAAGTATTTCTCAGTATTGTATGATAAGACCTCCCAATGGAGCTCTATGTGGAATCCCCTTTCTTCTCTTGGCTGCTCTGAAACTAATGGCGGTTGGTGGTGGCGTTGATGGTGTGAAACTTTGTATTTTCGTCTTTGCATTTCCATGGCTAATGGCATCCAAGCCATTGATTTCATTGCACATTTTTCTTTTCTGAAAATTCTTTGATGACCCAGCAATCTGAAAAAGGAGTCAATGTATAAGCCATTGTAACCAATCAAGAAGTACATTTGTTAAACCACTTTTTTACATGTCTTTTCAGTACCTAATGCACCAATTCCACCTTTTTATTTACTTAATATTAATATTATTCCCTCTTTTCTATTATTTGTGGCCTTCGTTTAAGAAGAGATCATATCATTACCATATTTACTTTACCGATAAAAAAGTTTCCAAATTATTATGGTAACTGAAACACATTGATCAGGACACTACTTTTTCAGAAATAAATTAATTATAAAAAAAAAAATCACAATAATTTGCCTAATTTATAAAGATACCCATATATGGTCAGGTTAATTTAAAATCTTACCTTGCAACCGAGAGAGCAGAAAGAGAAGGAATCAAGGAGGCTGCGGTCACAAACTTGACAGGTATTGGTGACGCCTTTACCAGGCCTTGGCTGAGGCCTCTCGTTTAAGAATACGATTCTGGCACTGTTGATTATGTATGTTTGAACTCCTGTTATATCCATGTATTTCTGAATCTCAGCTACTCTTATCACATCATGGTATGATGATCTCCTTATCTACACAAAATTCAATTCATATTTTACATCAGCCCCGGTAACGTTACCGTAGCTGTTCCTAGAGATGGTAACTACGGCACAGTTAGTTGACTAAAATATTTAACAAAATGATCGGGCAATATGAATATTGTATCATGCTCCATTGACACACTAAAAGGGATATCCGGTGTGGAAGATGAAGCTCCAATTCATTCCCCAATAAAAGGGCACATGTCATTGGTGAAACCAATGTAATTTCATGTGATTTTGGACTGTATATGAAACAATCACATGAATTTGAGGCTCCCCATGATCTTGGGCAGAATATATTTATTTATTTGATAGATGAAATTAACAGAATACCTGAATTGCCCTGTGGTCTTTATGAAATGCCAGACAAAGAGAACAAAGAGCACCATTCATACAGTCCAAGCAATACATGTTGCATTCACTCTTGTGGGCATCAGCGTGAAGTTTACATTGAACAAAGAAGCTCGTTTGGAGAAGAGGACGCACCCATGTTGGCCACTTTATATTTTCACCATCTTCATCTTCCTCATGATCTTCAGGACCTCCTCCTCCCTAATACAATCAATTAATAATCATTATAAAAAAAACAAACACAACAATCAGGAACTGAATATAGAGAGATGATGAAGGGAAAAGGACCATGATTCTTCTGTTTTTGGGTTTGATTTCTCTGACTGTGAGTAGTTCTTGATCATTCATGATTTTGTTAGAGAAAGAGAGAGAAAATATTGATGGGAAAAGTTGAATTAAGTTTGAGAGAAAGAGAGTGGAAAAAGATGTGGGGTTGTTTGTAGTGGTGGGTGGTAGATGGGCGTGTGGGAGGTGCTTATCTTTGGCCTTAAAAGTCTTCATCCGAACCTCTCTCCCAACCCAAACCTATTTAGATGCGTTTTTCTCAAGGAACTCCACCTTTTTAATTACTTTCCTTTCTATTGGTAAATATTATAAGCCATTCTTTAACATTATTGAATTTATCAATTCCTATCCTTATTCTCTTTTACTTTAACTTCGTTATATTATACTGAAGTTACTATTAGATAAATAAAAAGATAATATTAATGTTATAAAAAAATGTTAAAGTAAATTGATAATTTTGATCTTATAAGAAAATATTTTGTAAATTTATCGGTTATATAATAGAATAAGAATAGAGATATATTATTAATAAAAAAACCACCGTCGGATGATCCAACGGTCAACTAGGATTATTGAATGTATTACTTAAAAGGTCTTGAGTTTGATCTACCTAAGTTTCTAATAAGAGTGAACATTAGGAGATTTATCCGATTGTTAACTTCAAGACTCTGTGAGATTAGTTGAGGTGTACGTATGTTGACCCGGATACCCTACCGTCACCCAAAAAAAAAAAAAAAAAAAAAGAGATATCAGTGATCAAATTTTTACTTTGAGAGTCTATTTAATAAGACAAAGAGTATTTATAATACATTTTCAAACCTTGAAGATTATTTTGATGGAAAAAACAAAAATTATCATGTGAATTAAAAATTTAAAACTTTAATCTAATCTATATATTTTTTTTTATGACCAAGGTGTTCGGACTAGTTTATGCACACTTTAATTAATCTTTGGAGCTTATTGAATATTGAAAAATCTGAATATTTTGTTTTTACTTGCTTTTAAAACTTTAGTACAAAGTTCATATATACAACTTACGTATCTGTCTAAATCCTACTGATTACAATTAAATCAAATCAAATCCTACTAATAATGGTAACAATCCCTCTAATTGTGCAAGTTTACTAATGACAATAAACCACAGATGACAATAAAATATCTCGTAATAAATATCCTATAAATCTAATTTTTCAAAATAAGTCACAGATATGATAGGTGGTGTCAAAGTTTGAACAAAAAAAAAAAAAAAAAAAAAAAAAAAAATAAAAAAGACAAATCTTCTTGGCTGCCGACCCCTTGAAATTTAGTTTATAATATTCTCCCTTTTCTATTCCCCTTACTTTTCTTAATTCCAAATTTCATTTTCATAATCAAAAGTTATGGTAGATGTAAACTTTATATTACCTTATCATTTATATATTATTATGAAATCGAAATGAGAAATTTGCAGTAAATATTTTAAATATGTTTCATAATGTACATTATGTCAAAATTAAAATACATGTTATCGTCACATATTTATCAAATACAATAAGATTATTGTGATGAATCAATATTTAATTATATAATTATTAAGCTGATTAGAAAATTGTAAGCGTTTGGCTTGGACACACAAAGTTGAGGTACGCAATTTGGATTTTCTGACAGGTATGCTATCATTATTTGACACATGGAAGGCTATAATCCTGACACGTATGAAATTGGTGAATCAGCAGTATTGGAAGACGAATAAGATGCCATGTGTTGGACATAAATAATAAAAGATAAAATGAAGTTGCATGGAGAAATGGGGCTTGAGTATTGCCACATCAATGAGATAACAGTGACCAGAGGTCCCAGAAAATTAAAGAGAACTCTTGAAAACCCTACTTCACGGGGCTTTGTACAGTAAATAAAATAAAATTACTACGTTAATTTCCTAACCACAAAATCAATCACTTTTAAAAAAAAAAAAAAATAATGTGCTTTTCATCGATAACTCCAAACCATTGAACAAATAGTACTACAGAGTAAAACAAACGTACTAATTTAATGCATGCAGGTTGTGTGTAATTTCATTTGCTCGTATACGTTCGTCCTACTATAAATATTTTCATTTTCTGCTGTAAACAGGGTTACTTATATTGATTTGCATTATAAAATAGGTGTAAAATTATATTTTACACCTTTTCGTCTTACCAATTTTTTATAGTACTATATATTCATGCAATGTGAAATAAAATAATAAGTTCATTGTACAAAAAAACAAAAAATATTCTTTGAAGATCTTGTAAAAAAAAAAAAAATTGTTTAACAAAAAAAAAAAGTTTAAAAAAAACAAAAAGAAAATATTGCTTGTTAAGGCTTGATGGGATGAAATTTAAGGAGGTGGGCTGGGACAGTGAAGAGAAGTTGTTTATAATTTCCTTAAAGTTTGAGTTCAAAACCTTCGGCGGTCCAACTACCCCAATAATATGCTGACTATCTGGGTCCTTGAATTGTAGGGTATTCAAATGGACACTGGGGATTAGGTTGGGGGTGCGTTGCAAAAAACTGGAACCTCTGGATACTAAATTACGGGGGAAACTAATAAATGAAAAAAAAAAAAAAAAAAGGGCTTTTAGCTGGATGATCAGGGTTTGTTGGATGTGTTTCTCCCCACAAGAAGTTAGGATTTCAAAAAAAAAACTCTTCTAATGCGGAGCACAATTGGCATTGATATTTTAAGGACCCCGCCAAAACTATTTCCTTTTTCCGTTCCAAAGATTATAGGGTGGGTTAGCCGGACTTCAAAATTTGTGAAAGACCGAAAAGCGACGAGCATAAAAAAAAACAAAAAAAAAAAAAAACAAAAAAAAAGGGTTTTAACGGGAATTAAGGGAATATTATTAGAAAGCAGGAAGATCATGTAAAGTTACTGTATGTATCCAACCTAATGTTAAACAAAAATTACTTTCTGGTTATTGGTTAAAGCTGAAAATCAACTTAAAAAATTTTGGTTCCTACAAATTTTGGGACACACATAAAAAACAAAAAAAAAAACATTTATTTACATTCCCAAATCGGGGTTGGGTGAAGCCAGAAACATTTTTCCTTAGATGGGGCTAGATTTTTATCTTTTTTTCTTTTTCAATAGAAAACAATTTTTTAAAAAAAATAAAAAACAAAAACACCGGAAAGGATTTTTTTGGTGTAAAAAACCTTCAATGTTTATAAGATTATTATATGAAAAAAAAAAATAAAATTAGGAATAAAAGCAACCTCAAGTTTAAACGGTCAATGATATACTGAGCACTTGTTTTCTGATAAAATTTAATATTATAAATTTATTTAACACAAAAAAAAATATCAAAACATATATTTTGTATTTAATTAAACAAATAAAAAATTTCAAGGGAAAAAAAAAAAAAAACACTATAATTCAAAAAAACTTAATTCGAATTAAATAATAGAAAAAATAAAAATGGGAATAATGTGGAATAAAAAAAATACCTGTAAAAAAAAAAAACTAAAATAAATTAAAAATTTTACATAAATGTTTGTACTGGATAATTGGGGAAATTTAAGAAAAAAAACCAAAATTGGAAAACTGGAACAAAAAACATAAAACTTGTTTGAAAGGGGGAAATTATTAAAGATAAGGTTTTTTTTTTCCTACAAAAATATAGGAAAAAATGAGTAAAAATGGGACTTAAATTACACCAAACCACACAGGACCATAATATAATACATATAAATTTATAATTTAATATATATACATGGAAAAACTTAACTTAAAAACTAAATTTTTGGAGTGGTTCTATTGGTCCCTCACATTATCTTTCAAAGACGCCAATTCTAAGTTCATCCCATTAAAATGTTTTAGCATATGCAAATTCTTCATAAAGCACACCTACTACCAAAAAAATCCTTTTATTCATATTTTTAGTATTTTTTATGCTTCTTTTTCTTAATGTAATGTTCAAAGATAAAATTCATTCACATGTGTCTTTATTTCCACCATTATAATATAATAATTAAAAAATCTGAATAAATCAAACTAACTCATAAATTTTGGAGAAGTGAAGTAGAAGAAAAAAGTAAAGAAAAATTAACAAAGCAACTTACAATGGCAAAGTATAAATTTCATCTCTATTGAACTTATTTCCATTCACATGTGTCTTTATTTCCATGATCTTTTGATCAAACTCTTTCAATTTGTTGAGCAGAAGTCCGGAGGAAGTCCAAAGTCAAGTTTCAAGATTTTCAGTTTCAGTTTTTCTGTTAAATCAGTTTAGAGGGTTAAAGTGTTAAAAATGAAAGTTTAAGCAATATGGGGTGTTTTATATTTTATTATGAGAATAAGTGATGCGGTGTGTTTTACTACGGATATATTGCAATTATAAAATAGCACGCCTTGTAATAAAAATATTAGTTAGTGCAATTTTTTTCATCAAAACTAGGTAAAAGGGATTGATTAACTTTAATTTGCTTAGGCTTTGCTCATTTTCCTTCGATTCTGGAAGTTTCTTTGACACTCTTTTATGGAATCAAAGCCCTAGACACACATCTATGGTGACTCTGAGCTTCAGTTGCTCAATTTCTACTCCCAAGTCTGCAAAAATGAAAACTGAATCTACAAATTCAACAAATTCCGCTACTCCTCCTTCCTTGCCTACAATAAGTGTCAAATTAGTAGAGAAGAACTACACATACTAGCGTTCGCAGATTATTCCTACTTTAGCAGCTCATGAGCTCGAAGGATATGTCACTAGTGAATGAATGTTCTTCCAATGTTTCTGATTGACGAATCAGAAAAATCTAAACAATCAAGCAAGAGAGCAACTGAGTACTTCAATTGGAAGCAAATCGATCAATTTCTGGTTAGTTGGCTGTTCTTTGCAAATTTTTGAATCTATGTTTAGACATGTTGCTAAGTGTACCAGTGGTTATGATATATGAAATACTTTAGAATTGCATTTTCAGTCTGTTTGTAAGGCTTAAACTCTACATTTGATAAGTCTGTTACAAAGTACTAAAAAGGATTTACTAAGCATCAATGAATTTGTGTTAAAAATGAAAGAGCTTGTTGATGGATAGATTGCTAGTGGAGTTCATATAAGAGCTGAGGAGTTACGATTATACATATTAGATGGTCTAGGACCAGAACATGATGTTTTTGTAGCAAATTTGACCTCAAATAG